CCCGCAATATAAACGGATATCTCTGCTGAAAATTGCCCTATGAAGTCTAGGTATCTCATTTGACGAGGAGAAGCTTTATCCGAACGCTGTTGAAAAGCATAGGTTAAGGGTTTGTGATCTGTGAAGATCATGAAAACGCGTCCCTCTAGCATATGCCGAAAATATTTGACAGCTTCATAAATTTCTAATAATTCGCGATCGTAAGTGCTGTATCTGGTTCGTGCTCGAGAGAGGTTTTTAGAAAAATATGAAAGTGGTTTCCATAATTTTTGATCTTTCTGTTTTAAAACTGCTCCTATACATGTTGTTGATGCGTCAACGTGTAGAGATATTAGGTTATTTTTTGGAAGTAGAAGAGATGAAAAATATGCAACGCTATCGCCGGGAATCGAACCGTGGACCTCTGGAGTACCGGCCCAGCGTGCAGAACCACTGCACCACGAAGTCACGCTAGGAAAGCGAGAGAAATACCTTATATACTCCCCTTTTTAAAGGGCGACTGGAGATTTTAGGGGCTCAATCGCCAAATCCTGGGTGTAGAGAATACTCATTCTACACTCCTTTTAGTTCGGGCGCCACTGTAGAGACATTAGGATATTTGGAAGCAAGAGAGATTGAAAAATTAGCAACCGCTTTCGCCGGGAATCGAACCGCGGTCCTCTGGAGTACCGGCCCAGCGTGCAGAACCACTACACCACGAAGGCACGCTAGGAAAGCGGGTGAAATACCTTATAAACGTAGAGTAATAATGATTTAGATGTGGAAGGATACTGTAAATTTGTTGCAGAAATTAAATCATTTTTGCATTTTTGGAACGCTTCACGAGATTCTGTGGTCCAGGTTATAACACGTTTATCGTTTTTCTTGATTCCAATCAAAAAAGAATTTGGTGGTGTTTGTATGGTTGCTGCATGAGGTAAGAAACGTCGATAAAAATTGAGCATAGCAAGAAATCTTCTTAAGTCCTTCACTGTAGATGGTTCGGGCATATCGCGGATAGCGGTGACTCTATCTGGAAGAGGTCGAACGCCATCAGAGGAAATTTCATGACCAAGAAAGGATACTCTTGGTTGGCCAAAAACGCATTTGGAAGGATTAAGATTGACACCGTACCTTTGAAAACGTTCAAAAACTGTTCTCAAATGTGATAGGTGTTCTTGCTCTGAAGAGGAGGCGATTAAGACGTCATCAATATAAGGTACACGGAAGTCGAGGCCGTTTAACACCTGATTCATGAAGCGTAGGAACGTTTGAGCAGCATTGCATAAGCCAAAAGTCATGACCGGAAACTCAGATAGTCCAAACGGCGTAATAACCGCAGGTTTTGGAATATCAACTGGGTTAACGGGCACTTGGTGATACGCCCGCTCATTATCAATGGTTGTAAAAATAGCTTTTCACTTTCAGTCTTGAATGGGAGGGACTGGGTAACGATCAGGAATTGTAGCTGCATTTAACCAGCGATAATCGCCACTTACCCTTTCGTTTCCGAACTAGATGGAGCGGACTGGCGCATGAACTTTTTGAAGGACGGCAAATTCCCTGTTCCATCATGTATTGAAATTCCTCTTTGGCGACTTTAAGCTTGTCCGGAGGTAAGCCTCTTGATTTAGCGGCAATAGGAGGTCCGGTAGTTTCAATATAATGTAATACATCGTGCTTGGGTTCGGAAATACTCATAACTGAGCGCGTGTTTGTAGGGAATTCTCTGAGAAGTTGATGCCATGGGGAGTTACCCGAAATCAGTTTAATGCTCAAATCTTGACTATTGCGAGTTACTCCCGGATAAATTAAGTTGGTTGCGGAATCTATCAAACAGCGATTCTTAAGATCGACAAGCACAGAAAATTTTTGTGAAAAAAGTCAAGCGCCAATAATAAGGACTTGAAAAAAGTAGGCAATAATGAATGGCTATTGGAAGTTGCGGCGCAATCCTAAATCAACAGATATCAGGCGTTCACCATAAGTTCAACTAGGAAGTTCCATTTACTATATAAAGGTGTATCTTGGTAAGGCGCTTTTGTTCGTGAAAATATGGTGGAACGACAGAAACATCAGCCCCGGTGTCTACAAGAAACCTTAAGCCGAATTCGTTTCGATGACAAAAAGGCGTGCAAAATTCCGGCCGCTGTCGTTCACAACTTCAAGCAAAGGCCCTTCTCGTTTTCCTGGTTGTTATAACGACACGGTGGGCGGCATTTGTTTGCCTTGTTTCCAAATTTGTGGTGGTAAAAACAAATACCCGGAGGACACAGTACCTGGACCAGGAGCCTGCACTGCGTGTATTTGCGCTGGAATGGCCAGCTCGTGAATTTTATCAGCGATTTCGGGAAGACTTTTAAGTGGCTCGCTACTGGCCGCTAAAATGGTTTGCATGTTAGATGGGAGTCTATTCATCCATAATGTTTTAAGAATGTTATCCGTTAGGTTACCGGCGGCTAAGTCTGACATTTTAAACAGCAAGTGAGAAGGCCTCATATCACCCAACCGTAAATCGTGCAACAGCTACTCGATTTTAACTGTCTCGGATTCTTCATAAACAGAAATTAATTTTTTTTTTTTTAAGATTTGTATTTGTCCGTCGCCGGTGGATTCAAAATTATTTCACGAGCTGATTGCAGTACCTCTGATTCTAACGCGGCGATCGCTGTATAAAATTGAGTTTCGCCGGCAGTAATGTGACTCAACTGCGCATCCAATTGAATGAACCATAACGCTGGTCCTCGGCGAGAAAAAAGGCGGTGACTTAACTGCCACTCGTTCCAATTGCGAAGCAGCATCGTTGTTAACCACTTTAGATCAATCAAATATGCACAATAACAATATGTATAGAATATGCACAATAATAATATGTATAGAAAAATAATCAATATGTATATAGTGACACAGTTCCTTGGTACTTGAAATCAGAGAAACTGGAGGCTCAAATGCAGCAGACGATACATATATCCGCTGAAATTATGACAGAAATATGTTGATTCATCGGAGCAGGGGCATAGCTAGAGGGGGGCAAGGGGGGATCTGTTCCCGGGCGCAGAATCCAAGGGGCGCCAAACTGATGTTACGACATTTTAGAATTAAATGTTTTCCATCCTTGGCAAGCAGTAGGGGGCGCGAAATCTTCAGTTGTTCCTGGGCGCTGAAAACCCTAGTTACGACTCTGCATCGGAATGCGGCACAACGCTTGAAATGACAGGTGAAATGTCTTACTTGCATCTCATCACACTGAATAACTTACTGCTGCTCAGAATTTAGACATATAAACTCATCCTTCGCACTGAGGTTGCTTCGATTAATAATTATCTTCAGAAAAAAGTGCTTCTTTGATTAAGCTTATCCTAAATACACTCATGTCCATAAATTAAGGATAATTCGGAGTCACGCGGAAATCGAACTCTAAAATAAATATATCACCTGTAAAATCACTACACACATCTTCAAGAATCATATGCAAATTTCAGGAAGTAACCAGATGACACCGATGGTACGTCACAATGACGAGAGTGTAAAGAGAGTGATATATAAGGAATACAGGCAAAGAAGTAAAATTGTTCGCAGGCGCTTTATAAGCATTTCAGTGCAATAACCGAATAGTTATGACACAAAGGACGCATTTGGATGATTTTTTACGTGGTAGAATTATCGGCCGTCTGGAATGTGGGCGTACCCAACTGGAAGTATCAGACGAACTTGGAATTGCCCAGAGTGTCATCTCCAGGCTTTGGCAACGATTCCAAGATGATGGTAATGTGAGTAGACGTTACAGCACAGGTCGCCCCAGAGTTACAACGCCGAATGAGGACCGGTATTTGGCAGTTACTGCCAAAAGAAACAGGCGGAGCACAGCCTCAGACCTGTCTCGTCAGCTCTCTTCAGCCACTGGTACGACAATTTCAAGGCAGACCGTGTACAGACGCTTAGGGCAGATTGGTCTATATGCTCGTAGACCTGTCAGATGCGTTCCACTTACTGCAACTCACTGTCGCCTGCGGTTAGCCTGGAGTAGAGAGCATGCATTGTGGACACCGCAACAGTGGGCTTGTGTGATGTTTTCCGACGAGTCCAGGTTTAGCTTGCAGTCTGATTCTCGCCGGACTTTCATATGGAGAGCTCCAGGTACCCGTTACCACCAAGAAAACATCATTGAACGACACCGTTACGGTGGTGCAGGAGTGCTCGTTTGGGGTGGAATTATTCTGGGTTCCAGAACTGACCTGCATGTTCAAATTGGAACCATGACAAGCCAAATCTATCGGGACGTCATTCTGGAACAACATGTACGTTTGTTTCGGGGCGCCATGGACGCACAATTTGTGTTTATGGATGACAACGCCCGTCCTCACCGTGCAAACATCGTAAGCGAATGCCTTCAATCGGAGGAGATATCACCCGTATGGACTGGCCAGCATTCTCACCGGACTTGAATCCAGTAGAGCACGTGTGGGACATGCTTGGCCGACGAGTTGCAGCCCGTCAACCTCCTCCTACATGTCTACCGGAACTTCGGAGAGCATTGCTTTTTGAGTGGTGTAATATCCCCCAAGATCAGATCGATAATTTGATACTCAGCATGCCTAGGCGTTGTTGTACGGACTGTATTGCATCGTCTGGGAGACATACAATGTATTAACAATCATACCAACCATGTATATTGGTTGTTTTTTTGTAAATAGTTTTTTTTTTTTTTTTTTTTTTTTTTTAATTTGCTCCAGGGAGAAAAAATCGCTAATTTTTTTAATAATATCAAACATATAGCATCTTTTTTTGCTCTTTACCTTTTGTTTAATAAATAAGCTTTACAAATAAGTCAAATTTGTTTTACTTCTAACTCTTCCTTTGCCTGTTTTTGCATTATCCTTAATTTATGGACATGAGTGTAGAATAGAATCTTCCTAGTGGTTTCGATATGTATAACTAGCGTCTTAGACAACAGAAATATTCTGAAATTAACTCAATAATTCATTAAAGAATGCAATTTTGTTGACAGTTATCTTTTATAGGTGGCAGTGTTTTCCTACAAAATGCACAATTATCAAGGAGCCTATGCAATTCTTTGTGGATTATGTGAACCAATACTTACAGAATGCCATGAATTATGGTCCTCCATACTTGATGATCCAAAAACTGAATTAAGGTAAAAATTCAGGTTTACGGACAAACTTCATCAATAATAATTTATTTCAAATATAAATAAGAGTTTTAATTTTTCTTATAAGCAGAAAAATCTGTTATAGAATCTCACATCTAAAAAATGTATACATGCAAAACTAAAGAACATCATAATTTTGGATATAAATTGCGAACGCAGAACTTTATTAACAAATGAAAGAACAAATATTTTATTTCTTACTGTTTCTTAAGTTTTAACACAAAATTTTTTATAACAAATCATTACAAACTATCGTCAACTTAAATTTGAGCAAGAAAAACTTAAGTATTTATTTATTAAGAGAGAGAGATGGATGAAGAATTTATACAAAATTCTTTCAATCTTATAAGCAACTTAACTTCTTCTTCTTCTTCTTCAGGAACACAATTTTTTTTTTTTTTTTTTTTCTTTTTTAGAGCTGCAGTTTTTAATACTTTTGAATCTATAAGCATTGTATAAGAAGAATTGTTTATTTAAATTGTAGAGACATTAGTTATATTTGGAAGCCGGAGAGATGAAAAATATGCAACCGCCTTCGCTGGGAATCGAGCCACGGACCTCTGGAATACCGGCCCATCGTGCTACCGTTACACCACGAAGGCACGCTAGGGAAGTGGGAGAAATACCTTATATACTCCCCATTTTAAAGGGCAACTAGGTTAAGGGACCTAGTCGCCAAATCCTGGGTGCGGAGAATCATCATCCACAACCCTTTAGTTCGAGCGCCACTTGTAGAGACGTTAGGTATATTTGGAAGCCGGAGAGATGAAAAATATGCAGCCGCCTTCGCCGGGAATCGAACCACGGACCTCTGAAATACCGGCCCAGTGTGCTACCGTTACACCACGAATGCACGCTAGGGAAGTGGGAGAAATACCTTATAAAATGACTATGGCAAAATTCACATGGGTTATTTGCACAGGCAAGAGATGATTTTACATTGCACTTTCTAAGGCACACTGAATAACTTGCAAAAAGAAACGCAGATGTAAGGTAATAGTATTAAATGTGAACAGAGAACAAGCAATGTCTTGTATTTTAAAAATTGAGTTCTGATTTAGATGTATGATGAAGAAATGCTAAGTTTCAAAAATTGCATTTGTAAAATTTTCTACAGATGAAACTTATGCATTTGCTAACTCAAACCTCCAGCATGCATTTCCTTAAAAATATTCTTCCATAAATTTATTGTAAAACAGAGCACTAACCAGACAATGCATAAGAGAAAATAACCAATATATTCTTTATTTGCATATTCGTTAATGTAATCATAATGTGACTTTTACCATTCTTAACAATAAATGAATCAGCCTTTCCCTTTCCTAAGGAAAACTAGAATGCTCATTTGTGTGTACTAGGTATAATATTTAATTCCTTTCTTTTAAAATTTACCGATTAAATTACAGATGGAAAATATGCATGATAATATAAAATATTGAATTAGGCGAAATTGAAGCCGATTGATATAAAAAAAAATGCAGCATACTTTTAAAAGCAAATTGTACTATGTACAAATAAAGTGATCTTTCATGAAAATTAATGTTTATTAAGTTATAACTATAGTTCCATGCATTAATGTAGATAAAATTTTAGTAAACTGTGAAAAGAATTTCTAAAATCCTTTGAGCATAATAAAAGAAATAAAACTAGAATAACTGTGAAATTCTGTTGGGTGCCAATATAATGTTCAACAACATTCTTAATATAATATTCGTGAAACGGAGATTTCGTGATAAAAGTGGATTTTTGCCTCAATTAATCGTCGTTGAACAAATGTAGTATCAAAAGTAAAACTTGAGATTCTAAGAATCATAATGTAAGATAGCGTTTCATGCAATTCGTAAAAAATGTGTTGGCATGTTGCCAAAATTGCGAAGAAAATTTAACAGAAACCAACTGCTTTGTGTATTGATGGGCTATGCTTTGGAATGTTAATGCTCAGTTGTATGTGAGAAGGTTCGGACAAATCTGCTGGAAATACGTCGAGGAAGCTTTATTCCATTTTCAATAAAGTTTGCACGGGAATCTACTAGATTTCACATTGTTTCCAAATTAAAAGGGCCCCTGCATGGATAGTTTCTCCTAAAATTTTTCTTTTTTAAATCCTTCAGCAGTCAATACCTGCAGGGACAGAGTTCCTCCTTTAAAAAAAAATCTTGGCCTATGAGGCTATCTCAAGTCTGAATAAAGAGTAGTAAACGGCATTTGCACGAATTGTTTACTTGCGTTTGTTACTTTGAAAGCACACAGTATTAATTATTACAAATGTTATGTAATTTAAGAAATTAAATACCAGATTGATAATGAAGCATGTAGTTGCAAGATTTCTGTTTCAAAAGTAAAACTACTGTAATTACAAGCGAGTCGCATTTAAGGGGTCACAAGACCCGCAAGCAGCTTGTGAGCAAGAGTCACGGTTTAGCCATGCTTGATATATATAATCAGAATACATTTCCTAATAAAGCATAGATGTATTATACGGGAACAGACTAATCTATAACATTCATTTAACAAATTAATAAAAGTATATTCATTAAATTAATTTTAGTTAGAAGAGTCCTCGATAAAATAAACCTTCAGAATATTTCTTTCAAAAGGTTAAGATATTTATTTTTGATATTCTTCATATTTTCATTGCAGTGATTTTGATGATCTTCTAAGAATTGGTTGGTATGAAAAAATACAATGGCACTCAAAACTAGAAATTCCTTTCTTTGGACATTTCATGACACTAATTATTAAACAGCTCATTCAGAAGTCAGAAAACTTTCCTCAAATGGAGATATCAGGACTGAGTTTTTTGAAAAAGAAACTTTCACGTAAGATTATAAACATAACATGAATTTTAAATATGAAAATGTGTTTAAAGCAATTATTTGATTTGTGTTATAACTGTTAATTATCTATTCAGAATATTTATTTCTGATACCCAGATTTTCATAACTACAGATTTCATTCTTTACAGAAGAATTTGAAAATCTGCATTTGATTTTGGATGCAAACAAAATTTTGAATTTAAAAAAAATTCACTATGACAAAATTTACAGCAATTTTTTTATGTATCTGAAAACCAACTTTTTAACAATAGTATATTAAAACGAATTTTGATTCGGGAGGTGAGTTTATTTCACTATTGAGATCATTTACCGTTTCTATGCCAACTCCCTATTCTTTCTTTCTATTAACACTTTGCACTCGAGAAGTGACTCTCTCACCATGTGATTCGATGCCGCAACTCGAGAGGTGATTCTCGCTCCCCACTTGGTTTGATGCGGAAACTCGATGCACGGTAATAACTGTTTAATTTCTTCGAAGCGCGTTCTTACACTCTTTCTGTATAATCTTATGAAGTGTAAAATTATACCCCTTTAAGTGAAAATAAGATTTTCTTATCTGAGATCTTGCCTTTTCTTATCTATCATAAAGTCTGTTCTCAGAGAAATGAACCCGGAAAAAGGCATCAAATGAGCCCCGACCAGCCAGGCCTACGTCTTGGGAATGGTTACATGAAATATCATACACACAAAAATTACAGAGACTAATATTTAAGATATTATGTTTATGAAGGTGTAAAGATATATAAAATGTTAAACTCTAAAAATTTTATATATTAATTTGTATGTGTGTGTAATGATTTTTAAGTTACTGGTAAGAAATGCATCAAAAAGGTTGTGAAACGTCTCGAGTTGCTGGTGAGCCGAGCTAAAAAGGCCTTAAAGCAAAGGGTTTATATGGATACTGAATATCCATTTTTTACCCAAAGCAATACAAATGTTTTGCTTTAGGTAAACCTTATTTTTGAGTACATATTCTACTGTTTTTTAATAGCAATCCTGGAGTTACATGATTAACATGTGCCAAAATTTATTTACTCATAACTAGAGCCGTGACAAGGGTGAGGCAAGTAGGCACATGCCTCAGGTGAACAAACAACTAAAAATGGTGCGAAATTAGCTATGAAAATTTCGAAATTCATTTTAAAATATAAATTATGATCATTAATTTTATTCCATTCTCAACTTTAGAACACAACAAGAAGCATCAAAAGAATTTTATTGTAAACAAACCAGATGAATTAAGAGAAAAATTTATAGCATTAATTCATTTTCAAAAGTTTTGAACTTTACTGTGCAGTACATACACTGCTTTCTAACATTAAAAATTATAGTTGGAAATAACCTTTGAAATTAATTTAGACCTTGTGTACAACCTATGGAGTTGCACCCTGCTGCTGACATTCATAATTCTTTACCATTTATATCTCTTTAATTCAAATATAGCTTTTATTTCGCTTCAATAAGCTTTCTAAACAGCACTTGCTGAAAATTAACTGAAAATGGATGATGATGTAATAGCTTTAACAATTTCTAGCATCAGACCTTAATGGAATATCATCGGGAGTCTAAACACTGATGTTTGAAAATGAAATGTACAGTATCATCAGTGTTGTTGGGTAGAACTTACCAATGAACGACATGCGCAGTACAAGTTTTTATCTTATATCCATATTTTATTTGCACAGAATGGTTTCATTTGTAGTTTTTCTGAATCAGTTAAATATATTACTGGGTGGGTTTAAGCGAATTGGTGCATTAATCTGCCTCATAATTTGTAAGGTTGGAACATGACTTATGTTGAGTTGTTCTGTTATTTATAATGAAACAATAAAATTAATTGTTTAGAAAAGAAATACAAAATGGGTTTAAAATTTTGAATTTTTAAGACGAATAGTTCTGACTAATTTTAATATAAAAGAACATGTTTTACAAACTGTAGTTCTGTTCTGTTGACTTTCGATGCTTTTCCGCAAACCGAGAATAAGATATATATATGTGGGATTTTAAATACATAGCTTAATATTTTTCCTCGTGCGCTGTCTAAATTTTAGCTGTTGACTGCACGAGTGAAATTGATAGAACTCTCGCCACTTTGTTTTATGAGAGGAGATGTAAGATAATATAAATGTGGTATTAAGAGATGTAAGACATTATAGTTGTCATGTTAATAGATATAAGATGTTATAGATATCGTGGTAATAGATAAACGATGTTATAGATTTTGTATTAATAGATGAACTATGTTATAGATGTATTAATGTTTTATTAAATGTGTTTTGTTTGAACATGAATTGTTATTTTGAAACTAAAGAACCCACAAAATTGGTGTCAGAATCGGGATCAAATTACAAACAACAAATAGAGGAATATGAAGCAATATTGGATGAAAGAAGAAATACTTCTGTTAATAGTGAAATCGATGCATCAACTGCTTGAATTTTCAACGACTCTTCTTTTGCTGCTGTTAATGAAGATCATGAGCTAAAACAAAATAGTTTTCAAATGCATATATACATTTTAATGATATTGAAAGCTTGATTTCTAAATTTGAAGGTAATCCGTATAATTCGGTTGACAAATTTATTGAAAACTTTGAGGATGTATCTAATTTGTTAAAACTAAATGAATTGCAGAAACTGATATTTGCCAAAAGATCTTTAACTGGCAAAGCAAAATTATTCATTGAAAGTGAAACGAAAATTAATTCGTGGAATGCACTTAAGGCTTTATTAGTAAATGAATATGGTGTTCAGTATAACTCTGCTCAGTTACATGAATTATTATCAAAATGTAAAATGCAGGAAAAAGAATCTCTATATGAATATTTTTTGGTAATTAAAACTATGTGTTCTAAAGGTAATATTGAAAACGCCGCTTTATTTGAATATGTTATTAATGTATAAATGATTCTATATTTAACAAAGCTATTCTTTATGGTTGTAAAACGTTGGCAGAATTTCAGGAAAAACTTAAGATACATGAAAAAATTAAATTAGATAATGATAAAAATAAATCCGTTAAGCCTAATTCTAAAACCAGAAGCGACCATTTTGAAAATAAAATAAAAACAAATATTCGTTGCTATAACTGCGGAAATCTTGGTTACATGGAGAATTTTTGCAAAAATAAGAGCAAGGGAAAAAAATGCTTTCGTTGTAATTTATTTGAACACATAGCCGCAGAATGTACAAAAAATAAGACGAATATAAATGATCTTGCCAGAGTGAATCATATATTTATAAAGAAGCAGTTAAATGATATGCATAAAATTATATCGATAGATAATGTAGAAGTAAAAGCTCTCATTGATACAGGAAGTGATATAAATATAGTATCGGAAAATATTTATAAAGTAATTGGTTCACTTAGTATTAATTCTTCTGATTTGATTCTAGTAGGCTTTGGTAATAATAAAGTAAAGCCTGTTGGTTATTTTGAAAGTTTCATACGAATTGCTGATTGTGAAATTAAATCAGATATTTATGTTGTGCCTCAAGGAACAATGAAAGAAAATGCTGTTATTGGAAATGAATTGCTTTTGCAAAGGGAAATTATTATAAACAAGAACGGTATATCTATGAAAGTAATAGAAGATGAAAATGAAGACAAAAATGAATCGAATTTAATGTATATAAGTGTTGATCAAGAAAATAGATTATTCAGATATTAATAAAGTATGTACATCCAAAGTAAAACACTTAATTGAAAATCATATTCCTAATAATAATGAAAACCCTATAGAAGAAACAGATGTAGTTAAAGATGAATTAAAGGTAGAGGAGTCTCAGGAAGAAAAATGTGATGTAAAAAGTGGGAAAGGAAAATTGCAAAATGTAGAGAAAAGGAAGAATTCCATTCCTAAAAGAGGAAGAAAAATTCCACCTAAGAAAGTTCAGGAAATCAAAGAGAGTAACGGAAAAATTAATGACTCCAAAAAAACCCACTTCAGAGCCAAGAAGTTCTAGAAAAAGAAAGAATTCAAAACCTGAGATATTGGTTGAAGATAATAATAGTGAAACAGAAATATCAACAGTAAAAATGAGTAAACAGCAAGAGAGACTTCCAGCTGAAGAACTGGATCCTGGTATGTCTGAAAAACTTAAAAGAAGACAAGCCAAAGGAAAATCTTCTAATACCGAAATGCATGTTACTTTAAAAGATGGCCAACCTATTTCTTTCAGACCCAGATGTTTATCAATTATAGGTAAAGAACCATTAAAACAAGAAAAATCTATTTTACAAATGGATTTGGATGCTAGATCTTTGGAAAGAAAACTTTCTGTAGCAGAAAAGACCGTAGAAATGTTACAGAAGCAACGATCATAAGCAAAGAATGAAGTATCTGCAGTAAAAAGCTCTCATTGATACAGGAAGTGATATAAATATAGTTCGAATATTTATAAAGTAATTGGTTCACTTAGTATTAATTCTTCTGATTTGATTCTAGAGGCTTGGTAATAATAAAGTAAAGCCTGTTGTTATTTTGAAAGTTTCATACATTGCTGATGTGAAATTAAATCAGATATTTATGTTGTGCCTCAAGGAACAATAAAGAAAATGCTGTTATTGAAATGAATTGCTTTTGCAAAGGAACCTATGAAATAATAGAAGATGAAAATGAAGACAAAAATGAATCGAATTTAATGTATATAAGTGTTGATCAAGAAAATAGATATTTCAGATATTAATAAAGTATGTACATCCAAGTAAAACACTTAATTGAAAATCATATTCCTAATAATGAAAACCCTATAGAAGAAAACAGATTTTAAAGATGAATTAAAGGTAGAGGAGCCAGGAAGAAAAATGTGATGTAAAGTGGGAAAGGAAAATTGCAAAATGTAGAGAAAAGAAGAATTCCATTCCTAAAAGAGGAAGAAAAATTCCACCTAAGATAATGTAACGAAAAATTAATGATCAAAAACCCACTTCAGAGCCAAGAAGTTCTAAAAAAGAAGAATTCAAAACCTGATATGGTTGAAGATAATAATAGTGAAACAGATTCAACTTAAAAATGAGTAAACAGCAAGAGAGATGAAGAACTGGATCCTGTATGTCTGAAAACTTAAAAAACAAGCCAAAGGAAAACTTCTAATACCGAAATGCATGTTACTATAAAAGATGGCCACCTATTTCTTTCAGCCAGAGATCAATTATTAGGTAAAGAACCATTAAAAACAAGAAAAATCTATTTTACAAATGGATTTGGGAGCTAGACTTTGGAAAGAAAACTTTCTGATCAGAAAAGACCGTAGAATTTACAGAAGCACTATCATAAGCAAAGAAGAAGTAGAATCAAGTAGAAGCTGCATGTAGAAGTAAAAGCTCTCATTGATACAGGAAGTGATATAAATATAGTATCGGAAAAGATTTTAAGTAATGGTTCACTTAGTATTAATTCTTCTGATTTGATTCTAGTAGGCTTTGTAATAATAATAAGCCTGTTGGTATTTTGAAGTTTCATACGAATTGCTGATTGTGAAATTAAACATATTATTTATGTTGTGCCTCAAGGAACAATGAAAAAAATGCTGTTATTGGAAATGAATTGCTTTTGCAAAGGGAAATTATTATAACAAGAACGGTATATCTATGAAAGTAATAGAAGATGAAAATGAAGACAAAAATGAATCGAATTTAATGTTATAAGTGTTGATCAAGAAAATAGATTATTCAGATATTATAAAGTATGTACATCCAAAGTAAAACCTTAATTGAAAATCATATTCCTATATAATGAAAACCCTATAGAAAAAAGTGTAGTAAAGATGAATTAAAGGTAGAGGAGTCTCAGGAAGAAAAATGTGATGTAAAAAGTGGGAAGGAAATTGCAAAATGTAGAGAAAGGAAGAATTCCATTCCTAAAAGAGGAAAAAAATTCCACCTAAGAAAGTTCAGGAAATCAAAGAGAGTAACGGAAAAATTATGACTCAAAAAAACCCCTCAGCCAAGAAGTTCTAGAAAAAGAAAGAATTCAAACCTGAGATATTGGTTGAAGATAATAATAGTAACAAATATCAACAGTAAAATGAGTAACAGCAAGAGAGACTTCCAGCTGAAGAACTGGATCCTGGTATGTCTGAAAAACTTAAAAGAAGACAAGCCAAAGGAAAATCTTCTAATACCGAATGCATGTTACTTTAAAAAAATGGCCAACCTATTTCTTTCAGACCCAGATGTTTATCAATTATAGGTAAAACCATTAAAACAAGAAAAATCTATTTACAATGGATTTGGATGCTAGACTTGGAAAGAAAACTTTCTGTATCAGAAAGACCGTGAAATTTACAGAAGCAACTATCATAGCAAAGAATGAAGTAGAAGCTGCAAAATTCACAGAGAACCAAAGATAAATCCTGTCTGAGAAACAAAATGAAGTTCAAAGTTAAACTGAACATGAAGAAATGCTCTTTAGAAAAGATTGCATGAGGGAAATTATGGAGAAGGATTATTGCTAAACAAGCAGAATTGGAAAGAAAAATGTGTATCACTCATGAAAAATTTTGTCAACTGCGAGAAATTCTTAATGCTGATGATTGGGAACATTATGGAGACCTATGTGGTGCTGGTGTTGGAAGAACACCATCTAGTGTGACTTCAGCTTACCAATCAACTAAACCTAAGACAAGGTTATATAAAAGGCGTAAATCTTCCCGTGAAGAATCTTCAGTCCCCAAAACAAGATTTTCTAAAGTAAAATCAGCTCTTAATTTTATATCAGGAGTAAGCAAACATAATGCTTCTAATTTTCAAGCAGAAGATGTATAGAATGACTATGACATTTTAATCTGAAGTGATACAACTGATAACCGAACTATGATTTTTTACCTAATAATGACTTTTATTTCAGTTAATATTATTTTTAAGATGAAATGAAGTTTACCAATAATGTTAAAGATTGAAGATACATTTCGATTTAGATGAAATTTCTGAAAAATAGAAGGGACTATTGACGATGTTATAGTTACAAAGATGAAGGACAATTAAGATGTTTCCTTTCAATATTGTCCTTAGCACACACACAATCTTCCCCTCTCCTTTCGTACTTCTTTTCAGGTTTCGACTTATTGCTGATGATGGTCCTTTTACCGAAGACAACGAAGATGTAAGATGACCAATGATTTATGTTGTCAAGAGTAGAATAATGTCGTCGAGGTCGACGCATAGCAGGAAGGCCAAATGTGGGATTTTAAATACATAGCTTAATATTTTTCCTCGCGCGCTGTCTAAATTTTAGCTGTTGACTGCACGAGTGAAATTGATAGAACTCTCGCCACTTTGTTTT